AGCTTCATGCTCAGTGGGCAAGGCATAGATGGGGAGATCAAAGGGGGGGGATTTGGCCCTGCAATCACCTTGCACGAAGCCATGGCGTGGGTGATAAAGGTATCTCAAAACTTGGGGGTTGCCTGCGGCCCCCCCTTGCCTTTGCAGCCTTTCACCAGGATGGAGATCATCGGCTTCACCATCGGCTCCATCTCCTCCGTGCTGTACCTGTGCTCCCGCATCCCCCAGATCTACACTAATGTAAGTGCTGTGCTGTGAGCGGGGCAGGAGGGTCCTAGGATTTCAAATCGAAGAGGGGTGGTGGGATCACCTTCTTCCTCTTTGCTCAGAGGTCCCCAGTCCCTGTCTCTGATCATTTCGTAAGGGACCAGTTTTCTGTATTTCTGCTCCAAAACTTGATTCATTTTTCTCCCCTCCCTTTAACATAGCAATATTTTGAGGGTGGGGCTTTCCTTTTTTCTTTATTTACAAGCAAAAGGGGAACTAAAAGGCTGTTGGCATTGAGTCACCGCCTTTTTTCTTTTATTTTTTTGGGGGTGATTAATATTGCTTTCTACTGAGATGGCCCCTCTTTTTCCAGTACAAGCGGCAATCCACCGTCGGAGTCTCCTACTCCCTCTTTGCCCTGGTGATGCTGGGGAATTTGCTCTATGGCCTCAGCGTCCTCCTGAAGAACCCCAAGCCAGGGCAAGGCGAAGGTGACTACATCCTGCACCACTTACCCTGGCTGGTGGGCAGCCTGGGCGTCCTTTGCCTCGACGTGGTTGTATCCTTTCCCCGTCAACCCTTCCCTCTGGGATCGCATCCCGCTGGCACAGCTTTGCACAGAGCAATCCCATCTCAGGGCAGGCAGGAGTGGGTGGGTGGGTTGGTGCTACTCAGCAGTTGCTTTTGAGCTGTGTCCATGAGTAATTTATGGTGTTGCAACAGCTGAATGTTCCAGACCCTTGTTTGCATTAAGCTCGGTGTCTTCTTTCCACCTCTCCTGGCACAAACAGCCACTTTTTTTGGGTGGCGAGACCCAACATGCCACGTAGATCCACCCTTACTTGTGTGAAGAGCCTTAACCTCCTCTCAGATCTCCTTCCAGTTCCGTGCGTATCGGCACGGCAGACCCTATCCCCTCGAAGAGTGGGACGCTCTACTCTGCGAGCAGGATGACATCTTGGAGAGCTGAAGGGGCCTGACCTGGAGCGAGAATGGGACACTGCAGACGAGGAAGCTGGCTATAACATCAGCCCCTCCATCCTGGTGGCTTTTGGGAGCAGAGGACTTAAGCCAGTGGTTAACATGTTGTGCTGCTAAGACACTATGCCCAGCCTGGTGGCAGAGGATGTTGTTGAGGGGCCTCATTCCTCTGGTACCAATTATGCTAATGGGATAAACGGGGAATTGTTCAATACTGCAAAAGCTCGCTCTTCATTGCTCTTACGCGCCACAGCTGAGCCCGGTCACTCCTGCTTTACCTGGTGTCTCCCAAGGGTGCTCTGGAGCTTTCCTGGTACTGGCAGACATGGGAAGAGCCTAAGAGGCTGCGGGAAGGGGGCAGAGATGACCGACGTGCCAGGTGCACCAGCACCTCTTCCCTCTGTGGGCCTCACATCCCCACCACTGAGCTCTTTCTGGAAAGTACGGCGGTGACTGCAACCGGTTCAGAGGGAAGAAGCAGCGTAACCAAAGTGTTTGGGTCCACACATCCCTGTTTTTATTAGCACGGCTCACATGTCTGTGAAACAAGTCCATGCCCCACCTGCCTCCTTTGGTTTTATTTTGCCAGTTCATCTGCCAGCTCCTGCCTCTTTCCTAATGTGTCTCATAGTCCCTGTTTCTCTGACTTCTCGCTTTTTTGCCTCACCCACATTTTAATTGCATGGATGCTTTAGGAAAGTTGCTCTATTGCTTTCGGGTTAGCTGCGCAGGCAGTTACCTAGGCAGACGCTGATACTCGGTCTGGTTTCTGGTCGTGCCCTCTCTCATTGATGAATTTGTCCTCAACTTGGTTAATTTATCCTCAACACTGATGAATTTATCCCTTCTTGGGGCCCTGCACACCAACACGGTGGCTCGTGGCATAGGAACAAGAAACAGAACTTGCCCTTTTAAAAACAAAAACTTTCCTTTCTGCTGCTACTCTTCACAGTTTTTGCTCCCTTTTTTCTTCCTCTCCAGCAACTTTCCTGACAGGCAGCATTCCCCTTTAGCTGTATTATCAGTAGTTTACGATTCCTCAGCCAGTCTGGTGACATTTGTCCTTCCTGAGGAAGTCACCCTCCTCCCTGCTTCATCCTTGCACTGAGGAAGCCAAGCCACAGCTCCGTGATTGCACAGCTCAGCCGAGACTGTGAATGGAATGGGCGTCAGACTGTGGACTGCTGTGCCAGTATTTGGAGCTGACCTCTTCGAGCCCCTTGAACCAAGCTGCTGTGTTTTTCACTCCGTTAAATCACAATCATTCCCCTCCAGGCTCACAGCAATGGGGCCGCTCACCTGTTCCCTATCCTCGAGCCAGCAGGATTCCTCTGCTCTTTTCCACAGGAGCTGCAGAAAAACAATTCATTTCCAGTACCAATACAAACCATGAGCAGGTTCCTAGCAAGGCAGAAAGCACAGCTACCGGTTTATTACAGGCAAAGACCCCCGGGCTTGGCTTTATTAAAAGAATGTATTTTAACATCAGCTCACGTTTGCTAGGTCAGCCCCGGGGAAGGCGCAGTTGGGTTGCTGAGAGCTGGATTTACTGAGCTGGCCTATGGCAGGGGGATAGGACGGGATTTGGCACACGCCTGCCTTGCAGAAACAAAGGGTTCATGACGCCAGGTAATTGCTGTGCTCCAGCTGGCCACGAGATTTTCTTAAAGCCAGAAAAAAAACACCTCTACTATAAGGAGACAAAGACATATATACGTATGTTTATATGCCAGCAGCCATCTAGGTGGTGCTGGATGGAAATCCCTGTCGCAGAGTCTTGCTAAGGTTATCATCCCTGTGAGGCTGTAGTGCAGCCCTGGCCCTATAGGAGCCTGCAAGTTAAGATTTTGCACGGCAAGTGTTAAACCAGAAAAGGCACGGGCCACAAATGCCTTGTCCCCAAGTGCTAACCACACCTCGGCAGCAGGCTGGGGGCTGAGGCAAACCTCACAAAAGGTTCCTCCTTGGACAGAACCAAGGGACACCAATGACAAAACCTGGCCGTGTTTCCCTCGGGGATCCCACCTCTGAGGCAAGCACACGTTGTGCCCCTCCCCGGCTTGCGTCCCATGAGCTGCATTACGGAGCTGAGGCCCTGGGTAAATACTGTGGCATGGGACTGTAATCACCTGCAGATGTCTGGATATGAAATAGGTCACGTTAGAAAAGCAAAATTAGAGCACATTAATCAATATTAATGCCCGCAGTCTCAATTTGCATAGGTTCACCCAAAGGCTCGCATTCTCAATTTCACCAGGACCAAGTTTGTTATAACCAAAGGCCATCAAAGGAGGCAGTGGACCTGAAGCCATGCAAGGTCCCTCTGACCACTGAGGGTTTAAACAGGGGAAAAGACTGGACAAGGTTCACAAACCAAACGGGGACCAAGGGGAAGAGCTTTCTGGGTCCACCTCACACTGCCAAGTGAACCAAAACCCCTCTCCTCTGCCCACCAGAGCGTTTCAACACACAGGCTCCCCCCCAACTATTTATACCACACCCAGAAAAGCTGGACTAACCCATCTGCCCTGTGTCTGCTGGATGCAAACGTCCCGGTGCCAGCATCCCAGAGGTACAGCAGGCCGAGTAATGCAGCTACGTCGTGCTCTGTGTGAAGAGCAGCCACACGTCACACCCTCCTTAAAACAACCAAAGTTTCAGGCGATCTGGATACAAAAGAAAAAGGCAAAATAAAGCTCTCTCGGTTTCTGCGGCCACATAACCCCATGGCTGTGTGGATTACCCATGTGCTCGGTGTTTGGTTTTGATCTCGAGAGCGCATCCACCCAGCTCCAGCCAGAGCAGCCGCTTCCCATCGCTCCGGAGGAAAGCGCTGACAGCACAAACCCCAAGTGATGCTGCAGGAAGGAAAGAGAAATAAGGAGGACACCAACCACACACACACGGCTTCCTGGGATTTTTTATTTTTATTTTTATTTTTTTCTTTTAGTCTTTTTTTTTTTTTTTTAGTATGGAGGCTCAAGTATCAGATGTAGATTCAATTTAAGCTTTACAAAAAAACAAAATCAAAACAAAAACCCCTTTTGCGTTCCATAAAAATTGACAGAAAAGCGCCTTGGAACCAGGCTATAGAGAGCAGAACTTTCAGCAGGTCTCCTAATCGACGTCTCCTTGCAAGTCTGGTTTAGTCAGTATAGTACAACACCGAGGAACACCCTCTCTTCCCTCCCTCCCCCCGGCCATCCCCTGTGCCCAGCCCCCAAACATACGTGGAATAGATTTTTTTTTTTTCCAGTTCTTCCTCTTTCACACACCACAGTATTTAATAAATTTTTGTTTTACATTTTTTACACCAATGTAACAAAAGGCAGGAGGGGGTGGGGAGGAAAAGACAAAGAATGATCCGTGTTTATGCATATAAATGGGGCAAGGTGGAAGAGAGGGGGGAAGGAAAAAAAAAATACATGGACTTCTACAGAAACGTAGCCTAAGGTCTCGATAGTAAAATGTGGTGCAAAGTAGGCCTCAGAGACTGAAAAAGTTTGTACAGCTTTATTCATGGGGAGAAGATGGCGTTGCATGGATAGTACTGAATGCAAATCGTGACGTGACAACAGAAAAGGGCAGGGGGGGATGAGTTTTCTAAGAAAGGAATCTAACGAGTGCATGGCATGTCTTGTTAGCATGAAGAGTATTTTAACTTTGCTGCTTTCTCTTCAAAGCCTCCACCAGGTCGTTTTTAAGAGCTTCTTGTTTTGATTTGTCTGCAAAAGTCTGCACAGACCTGTGGGGAAGAAGGAAACGCAAGTGAGAGGCGATGCGTTTGGGAGAAGGCGCTTTGATGGGCTCTTCTGGCGTGGGGGTCGAGAGGAAGGAGAAGCACCTCAACCCAGGCCCAGAGAAACACAACTCAGCTTGCCTGTTTTAATACGGAAAGCAGAAGGCAAAAGTGAACACCTGAGTGAGTATATCCAAGCACAATTCACTCTAGCAAGGACGGCACCCAAAGACACGCTTCCCCAGCAGCTCCACTCCAGGGGCTGGAGGCAGAGTCCCAATTATTTTCACGTTACAGACTGGAAGAACCCCAGTGTGCCACCAGCGGAGGTGTTAGCGCTCTCGCTCTCCAAACGACCGAAGGCAGAGAAAATCCAGGCTCTACCCACGCAGGTGAAAAGGGCCGGGCTGGGGGAGCTCCACAACCTGGTTTTTTGCAGACTGATCACCCAGGGTCGAGCAGCCACATCAAAAATCTCCCTCCAGTGAATTCACCAGTGGGAAAAGCGGCCAGAGTTTCTGTTCTCAAATTTTGTTTTTTTGCGGTTTGTACCTTACCCAGAGTAACTCGTGAATCAAAGCAGCCGAAGAACAACAGAAATACTGTTGGCAAGAGTACTGCAGGGGGTCCCTTTTGCTCAAAGTTTGGTTACAGAAGAAAAGCTACATCTTTTTAGGAGTCATCAGCCCTAACCACCTGTAGGGTGGTTGTGGAGGAACCTCCATTTTCAATGGTACACTAAGAAATTTCCTTGATTTTAAGAATAAGCCCTCTCAACTATGATCATTGCCAGAACACTACTACTAGACTTTTCAGGAGTTGCTACCACAGAGAAGTGGTTCAGATCCAGTTTTGGTGGGACTTCTCCCCACACAGACCAGATTTGACACCCTTTTCAGTACTCAAAGCTACCTTATTTTGCCTGGATGCTGTCTCCTGTAAACAAGGCTGCTCTTTGTGTCAGTTATTTTCCTAACACTTTTATAACAGTATTTCCATTCTCTTGTCTCTGGAGACTTCTGCTGCTTTAATAAAAATATATACATTTTATATTTGCATTTGTCACAGGCTAAAGAAGTGGTTCTTGGCCATTATCAACAAACAGTGCATTTTCCCCTTCGTCAGCTTAATCTGTTTAAGACAACATCTGCAACTCGTTATGAATTGGAGTGGAAGGTTAAACTGGCTCAGGGTTAGTGACTGCTGTGCGTCCTAAACGTTCGGAGCTCCAGAGCAAACGGGAGCCTATGAACAAATCCCGTAGAGGCTGTGCAGAGCACAAGCAAGTGGAGGCTGCAGATGTCTCAGCAGAGCTTGAGCAGGACTGGATTTCAAGCTCCAAGGAAATTCAAGGTACATCAGGCAAACTGGGGGTGTGCACGTGGGCTGAGCTCACGTTTACTCAGAAGTCATGGGCAGGACCAGTCAATTTTGTTTTTGCAAAACTTCCAAGATTTCATTTCTTTCTGCAAGGATGACGCTAAGCTTACAGGGAATTTCTTCACTGAAGTGGTGCACCATGGCTGTAAAAAACTGATGGTGCACAAGGGACAGAGCCCCAGGGCTTCTGGATCGAATCAGTCCAAGCAAACACCACTTTGGGTACGTGACCACGTGCTCCTTTCTTGCTCCCAAGCTAGGATGCAAAGTGGTAAATCCTGCCACATTTCAGAGTGTGATATTTTAAATGGAGGGAAGGAGTGGAGTAACATTTAAAATGAAAATCACAGCATTTAGTTGGCCGTATTAAGAAAGAACCCTTGGGTGAAACACGGATCAAGTGTCGTTTATCAGTCTGCGGGAGTTAGGGGTTAGTTCTGGTCTCAGTTATCATGCAGAGGTCTCGGCTGGGTGAGTCCTGGTTTAGTGCTGGTTGTCACACCTCACAGGCAGTGGGTACCTGGGTTGGTTTAGTTATCAGGCTGGATGTAGATCTGGCGCTGGGTCAACACTTGAGAAAGCTCCCTCTGCAACTGCTTATACTTTTGGTTGTCGGGGATAGCATCAATAGATCTACAGAGAGCAGTTTAGAAACGAGGGGAGTAAACAGGGAAAAGAACAGTCAGAAGAACACAGTAACACAGAGCTGGTATTCCGGAAACCACCAGGAGCACGCTTGGAAAGAAGAAGTGTAAATACATAGGTTAAAAGAAACAGGAAAAGCCGAAGCCAGATGCTGCGTGCATTACCAGTCCTGAGATCATCTCACCGCTGCACAAAGTGCCATGACTCAAACTGAGCAACGGGGAGACATAGGAAACAGATTCAGTTACAAAAGCTTAAGGCAATGTTCACAAGGAAAAAGACTGTATTATATATTTCCTTTTAATGTTCATAAATGCTTCCTGGCTAAACCCCCGCACACCACAAATGAAAATAGAGGCCTGTTATGAAAGCTGGGGTTTGGAAAAAAACCCCAGAACAGCTGCTTTGTCAGACACTGCCGACTCCCTCTGCCCATGCTGTTAAGAAGGCAGCACAAATATTTAATCAGCACCGTTATTCTATCTTCTTTCACACCGCAGTACGTGAGAGAACAGCAGTATATTTATCTGTGCCATTTGTTTGTTCTACGTTATCGCTCTGTGCTAGGAGGTCTATCTGCAGTTTAAAACCAAATTATTTGGCATCACAGTTCTGCACTTTTCTCTACAAGAATGAGAACTACCAGCTTGGGATTTCTATGTAAAACTCCTGAGAAGAAATGAGCAGGGGTTGAAAAGTACAGCACATTTTCCCTACTGAAAGGCACAGAGGGTTTATTCACTTCATCTGTTCTAGTACACTACATTCTGACCAGCAGTGTTGAGAGAATGACAGAATTTAAAACAAAGTCTAAACACCGCAAACCACTAATGTCACGTCTTAATCCCAGGACCAACCAACTGGTTTTAAGAACAGCAGAAAGAGAAGTCAGAATTTAAGTACAACTTTCAGGACTGTGAAGAATAAAACCCCTCATCAAAAAGAATTCTGACATACAAGTGTTGCTAATTGGGCTATTTTCTTCCTGGTGAGAGAACAAGGGATTAAAACATTGCTTCAAAGTCTATAGTTACAAGGTAGAAAAGTTCCCTAAACTCCACACAACAAGTAACGTTTCCAAAGCACAGAGAGGTGAACAATTCGGGACACAAAAAGACTCTGAACCAAAGCAGATCAAATGCTGGGCTGGGGACAGCACCACGGGCACTGCAGGAGAATGCAGGGAAGCGCAGGGGGTCGAGAGCCCTTACCTCAGCCCATTAACGATGTCCTTTGTTTTTCCAAAATAAATCTCATTCAGTGTACTTCTGATTTTGTTTTCCATATCCTAGGGGAAAAAAAAAAAGCAACAAACCAGATCTTTAGTCATTTTGGCTGTTCTCAGCAATGGTGCGCTGACACTCTTCTGTGCATCACGTGTGTTTATCTCTTGCTGCAGCATGGTTCAACCCAGTGTACTCCTACTACTGAATGCTCCCAGAAGGCAGGATGACCCTGTCTCTCTGCTCTTACCAAAGAAACAACGGCTGAGCTCTGTTCCAGCCCTCTTCACAGAATCACAGAACGTTAGGGA